TCAGGCAAAGCAGGTGGGTCTGAAGAGTTCACCAGAGGCCACTAGAAACTTCAGTCACCGACACACCTGACTGGCAACCTCAGGAGAGTAATGGCTTCCCCTCCTCTTCTACCTTCCTAATCGTAAGTGACTGTCCATCCTGTACAAACCCTAATGGAGAACCACACAGGAAAGGGGTTCTAGGAGACAGAACCCCGGGCCCCTCCCTCATGGTGCAGAGACCTGAGAAGAGAGTGGTGGTGCTGCCAAGGCGACAGAATATAACGCAGCCCACAGGGACCACAGAAACCACCGTGACAAAGGAGAGCGTTTGAGTGACGAGTGACTCCCCGAGGTGCAGTGATGGGAGACACAAGGACACCATCTGGGCAGCAAGACCGGAGGGTGATCCGCTCTAGTTGGAGAGAGGGGGCAGAGGCTCAAATAACAACAATAAAAGCGAACAGAGTGCCACCCGGGTTGCAGTACATCTGGGGGAAATGTGTACCTCTGTTGGAGAGTGTGGACCCTGGGAAATTAACCAGTGGGAAAATAGGCAACATTAACTCAAAGGAAAACCAAAAATTTCCAAGCAAGGGAATGAAACCCTAGGACACTACAGCTCTGTTTGAAGGATAGAAACATCACACTGCTATGAACACTCGGGTGCATGGGTTCTTTGGAATTGGCGTTTCAGGACTCTTAGGGTACAGTCCCAGTAGTGGAATCACTGGGTTGAAAGGCAGTTCCATCTTTAGTTTTTTGAGGAAATTCCATACTGTTTTCTAGAGTGGCTGCACCATGTTCACAGCGGCACTATATACAATAGCCAAGTGCTGGAAACAGCCTGAGTGCCCATCAGTGCATGAGTGGATCAAAAAACTGTGCTACATTTACATGATGGAATACTATGCAGCAGACAGAAAGAACTTCCACCTTTTGAGGCAGCATGGATGGAACTGGAGAATATTATGCTAAGTGAGTAAGCCAGTTGGTGAAAGACAAATACTATATGATCTCATCTATAAGAGGAATCTAATGAACGAAATAATCTAATGAACAAGCTAGAACCACAGGCATGGAAACATAGACTGACAGTGACCAGAGGGGAGGGGGAAGGGGATAATGGAGGAAGGAAGAAGAAGGGACTACTCAAGGAACACGTATGAATGACCCATGGACATGGACAGCCGGGCGGGGGTTGACTGTGGGAGTTGGGGTAGGACTGGGTGGAGGAGGGCAAAGGGGGAAAAACTGGGACAACTGTAATAGAATAACAATAAAAAATGATTTCAAAGAAGAAACATTACTCTCTGGGACTGCTCTGCACTGAGTGTGCTTCCTCCAACTTCCCATGTCGAAGCCCCAACTCTGCAGCTGGTGCAGGGGGCACATGTATTAGGAGGTGTGGTTTGGGGAGGTGACTCTGTTTAAATGGGGCCATGAGACAGGGGGACCATGATGGGATCAGTGCCCTTACAAGGAGAGATCAGAGTGTGGGCTGGCTCCTTCTCCTCCCCCGCACCCCCCACTTTTCTCCTCCCCCCACATGAGGACACAGCCCAAAGGTCCTCACCAGAGTCCCACCATGACAGCACCCTGATCATGGACTTCCAGCCTCCAGACTGAGAGAAATAAAGGGCTGCTGTTTGAGCTGCTCAGCCAAGGACATTCTGTTAACAGCAGCCAAGCTGACTCAGGAACACCAGCCACCACACGAATGATAAACAGGGGTCTCACACAGAGAATCAGGTTAAACATTGCTGGATGGTTGGGAGGGGTGGCAGTATCCAGTGTTGAGGAGCTGCAGGGAACCCACCCCTGCTGCCTGGGCCTCTTCCCCCTCAGACTCCGCAGGTGTGGCCAGGCCTGGCACACCCTGACCTGAGCCCTGCTGGCCAGGACATTGGGGAAATACAGCTCCCAGCCTCCGGCTGCCATGCTGTAGGGAGTGCCGTGTTGAAGAGCCCAGCCTAAGATGCACAGGGATGGGGTGCTGGGCCCCAAGGAGCCTGTGGCTTGAGGACAGCGATTGACCTCTCTCTCACAGAGGAGCACCGGCAGGTATGCCTGGTTTGCTGGTGGCTGTCCCTCACAGAGGTCCTCTTGCTCAGTCCCCCCTGATGAGGGACTGCTAAGCAGCAGAGAACATGGCACTGCCATGTTCTGCTTTGCTCCCTCCGGAACAAGCCTGTTAATGTCCCACTCTGGAATGGGTTGCCTTGTGCCCCACGAATTCATATGTTGAAATCTTAAGCCCAGGCCCTCCAATGTGACCTTATTTAGAAATCTTTACAGAGGTGATGAAGTTGAAATGAGGGCACCAGGGTGGGCCCGGACCCAGCAGGACTAGGGGCACTTGAAGACACACACCACGTAGAACACCATGTGAACATGAAGGCAGACAGGTGATTCTTCCACAGGCCAAGGACCACCGAGGACCTCTGGCACATGTCACAAGTGGGAGAGGCCTGGCGCAGACTCCGCCTTGTGGCCTTGGAAGTAACCAGCCCTGCCCACACCGTGATCTCGGACTTCCGGCCACAGAACCGAGAGGGAACTGCTCTGCATTTCTGCAGCCCCTCCCTGGCACTTGGTCATGTGGGCCAAGCAAACTGGTCATCTTAAAATCCCAAGGCCCCTCTCACAGTCCCTCCCACGTACTCTGCGGCTATAGCTGGCCCACAGAAGACGGTGAGAGACTGCCCGGTGGATGGACAGGACAACGCTCCTGCTCCGCCTGCATCCATCTGTTGCTGTGTGTGAACAGCAGCGGCCGCGCAGATAATGAACTTTGAGCAAAGTTCCAAGCATTTGAAGGTCACTGTTTAATCAGCTCTTAGCCACACCAGTTCTACCCTCTAACTGTGCAGGCCCAGAGGACGATGACACACTGGATCTGCAGCTCCAAATTCTCTCCGTCACCCACGTGCTAGGCTGCAGCCCTGGTCCCAGCTTGTTCTGCTCTAAGAGCACCTGCTCCCCAGGTGGTTTGTCATTTGTCTTCATTCCTGTGGTTCCAAGTGAAGGGTATGGCAGGGGTGGAGCCCCACCACCGATTTCTCCTGTTTCCAGAAACCTGTGCTGTTGAGCACGTGTGAGGAGAGACAGCCGGGGTGATTGATGGTCACTGGCCTGTACAGTCCAGGTGGCACATCACCATCTCCCAAAATCCCTGTCACCTCCCAGAGTGCCATGGACTGCACTGACTTCCCCAAGTCCACGTGTTGAACCCTAACACCCAGCACAATGGTGCTGGGAGAGGAGCCTTTGGGAAGCGGTTGGGTCATGAAGGCGGAACCTGCAGTGATGAAACTGGTGTCCTCGTTAAAAGAAGCCCCAGAGAGCCCCACCACCCACCAGCCTCCGCCATGGGAGGTCACAGCAGGGAGAAGATGTCTGGGAGCCAGGAAGTGGGTCCTCACCAGAAAGAGAACATGCCCCTGCCTTAATTTAGACTTCCAGTCCCCAGAACTGTGACAAAGAAATGTCTGTTGATTCTGTTCCCCTGTCAGTGGCACTTTTGTTTTAGCAGCTGGAGCAGACTGATACACCAAGTCCTGGGCTCTTACTGCTTTATTCTAATCAGCCTGGCAGGGCAGTTTCTTGGCACCACAGCTGGGTACCAGCCCTGGTTTGGGCACCAGCCAGGTGGTCAGGAAGCTGTGGCTAAGGTAGTGACGCTGATCTCCAGGTGGAAGCAGGAGCAAGTAGGGGAAATGCTACTGAGAATGTGACAGGGTGTGACAAAAGGACACTGCTTCCATGACACTTCTGAGCAGCAACTTGCATGCAGTCCAGACAGGATGGAGAGCCTAGGACTCGTGTGGACGTCCCCTACAGCAAGTGCACAGTGGGAAAATTGAAGGCCACATGCCAGGATGGTTAATCCCAGGGACTTGGGTCACCCACCCAGAGCCATGCCAGAAGCCATGGCTCACCCTGCAGCCATTCCGCACCCCAGGGACATGGACCTTGCTTGGTGGCCCGAGGTCTCCATTCCTCCACACCAGGATGTGCAATCTTGCCAAGAAGATTCTGATTCTATTTGGTCCCCAGAGGCAGAGCCAGTACTGACCGTCTGGCCATCTGGGGAGATCGGTTTGGGAGGGGAGCTTAATTTGAGCTCCTTGGTGCCAGTTGAGGCATTGCCTGTGGGCCAACAGCCAAGACGGCCCCCTGCTCACTGGAGGTCCAGGAGAGTGCGGGCCACAGAAGCACCCGCATTTCCCCAGCCAGACCAAATGACTGTTCTATTCTGTACCTCCAGCCAGGAGGCCCAGGTGCTCAGCCCCCACTCCCCTGTCAGGGGTCAGTGCAGGACAGAGGTCGCCACAGCGGGCCTGGGGACACAGACTGGACACCACCTGCACGGGACTCAGTGGGAGAGGTCCCCAGGGCACTTGACCTGTAGAGGGACAGACGCACTTGGAGGAGTTAGTGGAGCTGGGCGGTTGGAGAGAAGGGTCAGTGTAACGTCAGGGCATGGGTCTCGAAGCAGCTGCGGGGGTGGGGGCGGAAGAGGCAGGACACAATCTTGGCCAGGCTCAGCCCGGTGGGTTCCCTGCTCCCTCCCGCCTGCGAGTGCCTCTCCTACGCGGCGATTGGGTGGGCGGCAGTTGGTGGGAGGCAGGGAGCCCCGCAAGCAGAAGTCGGTGCGCAGGGCAGCTCCAGGGGGATGCAGGCGAGTGTGAGAGGGAGACCTAGACTGGTCCCGCAGGAAAACAGCTCATCCCGATTATGCCACGCCTCGGACGCACAAGTGTTCCCGCTCTTGAGCATCGGAGGCTCCCGGTCGCGCAAGACCTGGGGCAGAGGGTTCTACCGGCCCTGGCCACCGGCTTCTGCCCTCTGTCTGGGTCCCGGGTGGCGGGTGCAGGGCGCGGCGGGCCTCATTCCCCCGCCCCCCTAGGGCGGCGCGGAAGCGGAGCAAGACAGGCTTGAGCCCCCGACGGCGCCGGGGCGGGGCGGGCCAGGCGACGTGATAAGAGCCAGGAGGCCGAGACCGCCCACTGCAGCGGGACGGAGCCGGAGCTTTCCAGGACGCTAGGCGTAGGACCCCAGAGCGGAGCTGAGGCTGGGGAAGGCAGGTAAGGAGGCCGGTGCATTCCGTGGGCAACTTCCTGCACAGTCAGGCGTCCCGCGTATTTTCGGGGCTTGCCGTTCGCGCCGTGGAGCCCGAAGGCTGCAGCCGAGGGGCACAGAGCTGGGACGGGAGCCGTGAGGAGGTATCGCGTCCCTCGGACGACAAGGTCTCCAAAAGTCATTCACAGCCCGGGATGCACAGCGCTCCCCGACAGACAGTGTCATTGGAGACCTTAAGGCGATCGGTGGCTGAGAGATGTGTGCACCATGGGGGATACAGGGTTGATGCGCGCCCCCCTGGCCCCTAGTCCGGGCCCCGCTGGAGGAGCGCCCGTCCTACGGCCGCGCTCGGCTCCAGGGGTCCCGCGAAGGGGTGGCTTCCCTGCGGCGCCAGCACTGGGGAGCACAGCTGTGGTGACTGATTCTGCGTGTTGGACCAGACGCGATGCTAGATGAAGGGGACGTGGGCAGAGACGCCCCCCACCCCCATCCGATCCAGGTGGCTTTCTCCGCAAATGGTCCCTGGAGCAGGGTTTCTTCTCTGACTCCACGGCTGAGAGCGGGCGCATGGAGTTGCGGACTCTGTGCTTCCGGGACAAACGGGCCAGAGGAGCGAACCGCTGCTGATGGGCCGGCTGTGTTTTTCTAAGAGACCGCAATTTGCTTTCTTTATCCAAACCTGGCCTCTGAGGCCACTGCTTCAGGAGTGTGTCAGCTCACCCCAAATGCTGGGCATGGGCTTCCCCGCAGGTGGCCAGAGGGGGCTGCAAGGGCCCTGGTTAGAACAAAAAAGCTGGAATTTGCTGCCTCTGCATCTCCACCCCGTCTGGAGGCACCCCGCGGCTGGCCGGTTCACCTGCTCCTCGGAGCACGCAGCCCCTCGGCTTGTTTTTCATACCTCTCAGGAAGGTGCAGTTGGGTCAGCAGAGGTGAAGGAGCCACCCAGAGTTGGTACATAAAATAACTTAAGTTGTGAGTTTTCATTCAAACTTGGACACAGTGCAAAATTTGCCCACTAAGCTGCCATCCTGTTATGCTTCTTCTTCAACCTCTATGGGTGTGTGTGCGTGAGCATGTATGCATGAGCACCTGTGCACAAGCCCGTGTGTGAGCCGCGTGTGAATGTGGGGGGGGGGGGGGGCGTCAAATGCCGAAAGTCAAATTTGAAACTGCTCTTGGACCCGAGGGCCCGGCTTGCTCATGGCCTTTACTGTGGAATTTCTTCTGTTCCCCCTGAGGACACTGCCCAGGGTTTATGGCAGTGATCTGGAAATGAGCTCCCTGGCACCGGTGTGAAGTATAGGAGCTGGTGGTCCCTCTGGTGAATCCTGACACAATGCTCTCACCTGTGCCCACTCTGCCAGGTGACGCTGGTGAGCCACGGGGCCATGGCTGTATGCGGATCATGTATACGTTTCTTGAAGAAACCATTATCATTGTTTTGTAAACTTTTCATTGCTGTGGCTGACTTTGTTGATAGTGGAATGAATAGGTGCGCACTCTTGTAAAGACTTATTGTCGGGTGCTATTTGAAGACAGTAAATTACTCCCTTCTGTGTGGGGTATGGCAGCAGTAACCGTTTGCATTATTGTTAAAAGCAAAATTAGAGATTACACACCATCACTGCACTTTCATTGGACTAGAGAGGAGAGCCAGGGGCAGGGGGCAAAGCAGATGTCTGTCTGGGGCTTCCACAGTGTGCCGTAGCCTTTGGGAAAAATAACTCTTACGCCGCCCTCAGTCCTGCCACGCCATCTCAGCTGTTTGGAATGGATTTGTTTGGCCCCAAAGAAAGGATTATAAATGCCTTGGATCTTTGCTCTTGCCACTGGGTGCATCTGTAGTTCTGGCTACTAACTCACTGCATTCCTGTGTATGTTTATTTTTCATGCTGGCTGAAGACCAAGAGGGAAGAAGTGCAGGATCCTAGATTCCATCCAGTCTGCCCATGAGTAGAAGCAAATGCCCAGTGGGACTGATGCCTTCCGTGGTGGCCCCGGCTAAGGAGCCCAATGCCACATGCCCAAAGGCAGTGGAACTTGTTTTGGTCAAGGAGCAGAATGGGGTGCAGCTCACGAACTCCACCCTCGTCAGCTCCCCACAGACCCCCGTGGAGACCCAGGAACGGGAGACATGGAGCAAGAAGATAGACTTCCTTCTCTCGGTGATTGGCTTCGCCGTAGACCTGGCCAATGTCTGGCGATTTCCTTACCTGTGCTACAAAAACGGCGGGGGTGAGTCCCCGCATGCCCTCCCTCTGCTGGGCTAGAGGCAGGGCGATGGAGGCAGGCTTTTGAGAAATGGGCATTCTCCGGCAACATGGCATGGCTTTGTAACTCAGCACTAGCCGGGCACAGGTTCCCCATGTGTGTGTCACAGAACCATGGAGGGAGAGTTCGGACCACTCTCACCCTGGGCCAGGACGTCACAGGAGAGCAGGGAGCAGAAGTTAGCAGTTGGAGGCGCCATGGCTCTGTCTTCTGTTTCCAAAGGTGTTTTTCACTTTGGAAAGAAAAGACCCACACAGAAGGGTAGCTTCGGCTGACTAAAAACAGTCTTTACAAAGGGGGTCCCTTGATCGAAGATGCCCTGTAAAGGTGTCGTTCTCCTACCCCCTGCTCCTACTATTCCCTGCACTCAGCCAGTCCTGAAACCACGACTATCTCAGGACTCAGGCAGAGAACTTAAGTGAGATAAAGGGGGAAATCACCTCAAAAATTAGAGTTGAGAATCCAGGTAAGTTGGTGCTCACGCCCACCCTCCCGGTGCCTCCATCTCCCTGACAGCATCCCAGAATCGCTGGCCACACCACAACATACAAAAGGCGGGTGTGGGAAGACAGTCCTGAGGAGGCCTCCCAGCATGCCTGTGGGTAGGTTGGCGTCACTCTGCCCAGATCTAGGGGAGAAGACTGAGGCCTCCGTGGGCAGTAGGACAGACGATCCCGGGGCCTCCCTGCCTCCCTCCTCATTCCAGGAAGAGAGCCACGGTGAAGCTCCCTCTCATTCAAGGCAGAACTTTAGCAAGCAGAGCCCTGGGGTCCTGAACTTTGTGCTCGGGACAGGGTGCAGTTACAAGAGGAGCAAGGCACTTCCCTGGAGGGACCACAGCCCCCGATCCAGGCAGGTTTCAAATGCTGGAATCTGGAATTGATGACAGAACCCACACAAGGTCAGAGGTGGCCCGTAGATCCCACAAGAATCGCAACTCAAGAGAGACAGACATTCCATACAGGAGCACGGGGAGGCACAGGCAGGGAAGGAGCCGCAGTGCATGCTGGGTTGTGTCTGCTGTCCTCTCGGGGGCTGACCCCATAACCTGGGGCTGGAACATTGGCAGTTCAGTAGGGATGGGCTTGCTTCGAAAGCTTTAGAAGGGTTCGGAGCACTGATGACGGTGGGGCTAGGCATGGAGGGAGGAGACCCACCCAACCCAGCCTGAGGCTTCCAGCCTGTGGACAGGGGCCAGGCAGGGAGCTTCAGGAGAAACAAGGGCAGGGATTGGGGTCCGAGCCAAAACGCATGTGGTCAAGGGAGGTAGGTGAGCCTTTGAGGCCCTCAGTGATCATGTTGTCATGCCCCACAGGTGCCTTCCTGGTCCCCTACCTGCTCTTCATGGTCATTGCGGGGATGCCACTTTTCTACATGGAGCTGGCCCTTGGGCAGTTCAACAGGGAGGGCGCTGCTGGTGTCTGGAAGATCTGTCCCATACTCAAAGGTAACAGTAGGGACACCTCCTCACACCTCGCGTGGCACAGACCAAGGCTGCGGCTCCAGAGCTGTTGAAGCAAGCCCGCCCGAGTCGGGTGCACTCCATCCTGCTCTGCTAGGTGTCTTCACACATGAACACACCATTCCAATTTTGGTCCTACTCTAAAGATCTGTGATGACCAAGATTTGAGAGTGTATTTCCTTCCTTCCAGATGAAGCCACCTGTAATTAAATTCATTAGTGGTGTTATTTTGTCCAGTGTTAAAATGATAAAAAAGACAAAACCTCTATCCATTGGTCAGGTACCTATCATCTATTTGTCTATCATCTACATATCTATCCATCAATCTATCTAGCCATCATCTACCTATCTGTCATGTGCATATCATCTATCTATCTATCAACCGTCATCTATCAACCATCTATCATCTACCTACCCACCTACTTATTTATCATGTATGTATATCTATCATCTATTAAATGTCAACTGAGCAGAAATAAAATCAGGAGGCTCTGGCTAGAAATAAACAATAAAGATTTATTCAAGGGTCTTAAGGTTTACATATTAGAAACACAACTAGGCAATACCCAGAGTGTTCCAAAGAAGGAAGAAAAGTTGAGGGTTGTTATAGAAAGTTATACTGGAGAAGAATCAGTCCTGCATTCTTAGCTTCTAGATTGGTCCAGGATGGCAACCCACTAGATGACCAGTGGTCTGGATACTGGATGACAGGTGGTCTGGACACCTTCCCCCAGTCCTTCAGGGGGCAGTCAGAGTTATTAGGAGGTTTGATGTCTGGGCATTGATTTGAGATGAGAAACTTCAAAGGTTTAAGTTCCCAGGCTACTTAAAACAAGAACAGAATTGTTTCCTCATGCCTCAACCTACTTGACTTTACTAATTTAGCAGTTCAACAATCTACCTACCTATCTATATCTATCATTTACTTATCTATCTATCTATCTATCTATCTATCTATCTATCTATCAGAACTACCTATTATCTATAGTCTACCTAACTGTCTAGTTACTTTTGGCCTTCTAGGCTGCCTCCGAGATGCCACAACACCGTGAAGCAAACACACCTCGTGGTGAGCGCAGGTGACCAATCTCCCCAAGGTCACCCAGCTGAATCCTCCTGAGAGCCCCAAGGGGGGAACACACTGTCTTGTTTCCATCTTGGGGAAGCAGGCACTGAAATGGAGGGCTTGAGTCACTGGCCCTTGTCAGCTTGTTAGGGACAGTGTGGGATTCAATCCCAGACTTGTCTGACCCCCATTGAACCAGTAAGAGGCGATGGGTCAGGAGGATTCAGGGTTATTTTCTCAACAAGACCACAGAAGGTGCGTGGTTCAAACAGCTGGTTTCATTAAGAAAATGGCTCTTTAAAGCTCAGGCTCTGGATTCTCTCAGAAGTTCTTGACAAGTTGGTGTTTGAGGAGAGCAGAAGCCTCAGGGTGTCTCCAAGGCTGTTGTGTGGGGGGCAGGGGGGTGTGCTCAGACAGAAGCTGATCCAGCCTCGGGGGTGAGGCCCTCGCACGGCTGCTGGGGTCGGTGGTCTCCATGGAAGTTACAGTCGCAGCAGAAATGCTGAGACGGCCTGGCTGTGGCACCTCCTACACGCACTGTGTGTTATTCCTGCCTAATGGTCTGCTGGGTGAATCTGGAGATGTTAGCAATTTCTTCTGAGGCTAAATAATTCATAGAGCCACCCTAAAGTAGAACTACAGAGCAAGACTCAGACACCTCTGGGTTCAGGCACCAGGCGCGCAGTGTTCCTTTGTGCAATTTGCACACAGAAGTCAAAGCTCAGAGGAACTGCCTGAGACTCGCCCCTGGCTCCATCATTAATTCCCCAGTGGAGAAATATGCAGGTACCAAAGATACCAGGCACCTGTTAGTGACAGGACAGGTGCAGGTACTGACCTGGACATTTCGGCATCTGTGTACTGGCACAACGTTGGTGCCATCGAGGGCAGTAAACCCAAGCTAACAGACAAGACACAAACGAGTTAATCGTGTTCTCCCAGGCTCTGCTGGGCAGCCGCTAGCATGTCATGTGGTCATGCACTGCAATAAGCTTTCGCTGTGGTCAGTATTTACAGAACATTAAAGCACCAAGTCGGAAATTAAGCGCATCTATCCTCAAGTAACAATCTGGGGAAGCATTGAGGAAGGATGGCTCCAGCTGTGGTGCGGCCTGTGGTAATGTACGTTTGCATCTCTGGATTTCCAAGAGGCACGTCTTTCCAGTCCAAAGTATGTCTGCCAGAAGTTTTTTTACGTGGCATGACTCTGTGCCCCCACCTCCCACCAGGGAGTCTAACCCCGAATCAAAGTAAACCGGCCTCTTTCCTGAGCACCCTCCTGAGCACCCCACGGCAGGGTGAGGGACTGCAGAAGAGGAAGTGGATGGTGGCCCCACGGGGCTGGAGACCAGCAGGTGGACACTGATTTCCAGCTGTTTCCTGCCACACAGTTTTCTACAGCAAAGCTGCCAAAGTGAGTCATTATGCTGCAGCTTATAACATGTCAAATGCTTTCTAAGGATTTCAATGCTACTTAATACTAATGAACTGGAGCCAGTACAGGAAATATGACTGTTGGCACCCCATTCTACAGAAGCTCAGACCACAGATATTGCCACATGTCATCAATACCAGAACCTGGTGGAGAAGTAGCAGATGTCACACACCTCCGTAACTGACTCCGAGTCCCAGCCTCATAGTCACGTTCTGGCAGCTCACATCAGCTTTTGTCCAGTTTTGGAAACTTTTCCATGTGGAAGGCTGAGTTTGGGCCAAGTGCACAGCAAGAAGCGCTGTGTGACCCCACAGGCAGAACCTTAGTGGGAGCCTGGTCACTCACCTCATAACCTGGGGTCGAGGGAATCCCAAACCACAGAAGGTCAGCTATTGAGCTGGGAATCTGTGTGGCTAACACAGGGCTGTGCTCGTCAAGGATATAAATGAATCAGCACAAGAACACTAGACTTTCCTGCTTACAGAAGAGACCCTTGAACTGTTTAATGCCAACCTAGCTGTGACCCCCAACAGATGCTTTTCTCTTTGTCCAGGCTCTATCTTATCTATATGGTCCCCATTTGATAGGAGGTGGTCATCTCTCCTTAAATTAGGTGAGGCAAATGATGCTTTCCTGGATACCTTGACATGCATGCCTTCTTTTTCCTTTGTCTTTAAAAAAATCAATTAACAAAATTGCCTGTATTTTCATGTGTCATTCATTACATATGAGTAACACATGGTAAATAACATCAGTTGAAATGCCCCAAATAATCATTACAGAGCTAAAAGGTTATCTAGTCTTTCAGAGGACCGTCAGCACATCCAGGCCCAGTGAAAGCTTTCATTTGTGTCTGGAGCTGAGCTCTCGGACAGCCTGCTCCCCCCGCCTTCCCTCCCTTACCTGGGAGCTGCTCCCTGCACGTGATCGGCACAGAGCTGCACCCAAGGAAGTCAGATGGTAAGTCCACAGACAGGATGAGCTGCTTAGGCAGCTGTGCCTCATCCTCAGTCCCCTGTATTATCTGTCCAGAGTCCCTCAGGGTGGGCATGCAGCTGGAGAGGCTGCAGGTGACCCTCAGCACACAAATGTGTCATCCCAGCATCCTGGAGGGAGGAGTCTCAGAACTACCCTACTCTCCCCACTTCCTCTCTGTCCCCCTCTCTGTCATATGAGCGCACATGCACACACACCAAGTAGATAATAAAGACACCCAAATTGACAGAGGAGGAATTCTCTCTAGTTGACTGCAAAACAAAAATCCTGCTAGTAAGTCTCAAGAAGTGGAAAGCTGCTCTACCAGGGAGGCTTTTCTCCAGCTGCTCTTCTTGGAATTAGTATTTGTTTATGACACTCTCATCGAAGCCAGCTTTTGTGGATACTTTGGAGTGAGCTGGCTTTGGCAGATGGTAGAGAAGGGTAACTGTCATGCTCTCTCAAGACCTAAGGAGAGAGGTTGTTTGGCTAATTGCTAAAGACACCCTCATTTTACATATGCTCTAGAAACCCTGCCAACCTATTGAATATAAAACGGTTTATGATATTTTGTGGTCAGTAATATTTTAGTGTGATGTAGCAAACTCTTCCTCTTTCTGGAAAAAAATTTAAGGTAGCTTGAAATAAAACAGAATGCACTCAGGGTTAATATAAAAATATTAAGAAAAAGAGAAATTTAAGAAAATTGACAGAAAGAACTGTGATTGAAATTCACACTTAGCCCTGAGCTTCCTGGGAGTCAGACAGTGGAGGAACACATTTTCATTGGAGGTATGAGAGGGAACTGAACCTGCCACCTCCTTAGCAGAGACAGTTTCTCGTGGCAAGAAATGATAAAAAAAAAAAAAAAGTGTATCCATTGTGGCTTCATTCAGATGATGTGATGATGTAATGAACAACAATCAACAAAATGTGGATTTTGTGTGGCCGGGTCTTAAGTGACCCTGAAGAGGAACTTGGTGAAAGTCGGGGTGGTGAGAGGCTACGCTTCAGTGCCCCGGGCCTGTGGCTCTCTAAGGCTCTGCTGTCCTGGAAGACAGAACCTGTGGTGACTGAGCAAATAGCTGACACCAGCAACCACCTTCCCAGGGAATTGTTTCCATCACTCCAGCACTTTTGGCACCTGGACAGCAACCCAAGAGACAATGGTGCTCTCAGGTGAGGCCGAGCTCCAGTGCTGGGGTGCTGTGTCACTGACGGGGCAAGCCCACGTGCTCCTCTGGTGACCTTCTCACTCTGTTGTGAAGGTTGAGAAACCCGCCTGCCCAGATGAAGAGCTACCCACACAGCGGTGGGTGCAATACCAAAAGCAAAGTCAGCTCTTCCTTCGGATACTGGATCTTGATCTGCTCTAGTGTTCGAGCAAAGCTCCTTTGAGTTCCCCAAATTTCAAGCTGAGGATTTGGTATGCAACGTTTTAATCTTAAATGAATTTCACAGCAGCCCACTGCCAGGAAAAACCTCCTGTGATGTGCTTCATGACAATGTGGCTTTCTGAGCACATGGCTTCCCCAACCAACAGGAGGAAGCCTTCTAACCACCAGGCCCGTCTGCCCACCAGTCAGGATGACACAACTCTAAAAGCTGCTCACCATTCTCTTGTGCCTCATAACCAATCCCAAATTCCAGATTTCGTGATCCTGGAAAGGATGCTCTAAAAGACTCAGGTGGCCCTAGGAGACTCTGGATAGTCATGTATGCCCCTGGCAGACCCTAGATTGTCATGCATGGTCCTGGGTAAACTTGGGTAGCCCTAGGTAGCTATGAATGAACCTTGATGACTCTGTTTGCCCTGAGTAGTCTTGAGTAGCTATGGGTAACCACAAATGACTCTGGTTGTTTCTGGGTGGCCCTGAATTAGCCATAGTGGGCCTGGATGGTCTTGGATGTCCTTGGTGGTCCTAGATGAGCCTGGGTAGCTGTGATAGCTATGGAGGACCTTAGTGACTATCAGTCACTGTGGATGGCTCTAGGTGTCCCTGGATGGCTCTGGGAATCACTGAGCATTCCTGGGTGACCCTCAATGGCCTTTGATGACCCTATAGTCATGGATGGCCCTGAATGTTTCTGGGTGACCCTGAATGGTTTGGAATAGCATGTGTTGACATTTGGTGATTTTTGTATCTCTGAGTATCCCTAGATGACCCAGGGTGGCCATGGATGGCCGTGGATGACAGTGGGTGGTTCTGATGGTTTTGCATGGCCTGGTGCTGCTGAGTAACTCTGAGTATGATTGCCCAGGGTGACCCAGAGTGGCTCTAGATGACCTTGGGTGAGCCTGGATGATCCTGTTTGATCTTGAGTGGCTGTGGGTAGCCACGAATGGCTCTTGGTTACCCTGTATGTCTGTGAGTGACCTGGTTCTACCACGGTGGCCCTAGATGATCCTATATGTTCCTGGATGACTCTACATAACGCTGGCCTTACCAGGGTGGTCCAGGATACCCTCCAATGACGCTAAATGGTCTTTAGGTTTTGAATGCCCCTCAGAGATATTCTGAATGTCTCTGTGTGGACAGTGAAGACCGTAGATGATTTTGGAAGGGGGAAGCCCCTCTCTGTGATCGCAGCATAAAATCTAGCAAATGCCCTTTCACTTCTCTTCCCCTGTGTATTTAAAGATGTTGCCTGCATTAGAATGGTGGCAAACAGCTGATGGAGGGTGGCAATGCCTTCTGTAAGGGAAGGTGGGAGGAGGCGTTCTGTTGATGGTGGCTCTGTGCTCTCACTGCCCTAGGTGTGGGTTTCACAGTCATCCTGATCTCGCTCTACGTTGGCTTCTTCTACAATGTCATCATTGCCTGGGCACTGCATTACTTCTTTTCCTCCTTCACCATGGAGCTGCCCTGGATCCACTGCAACAACACCTGGAACAGCCCCAACTGCACAGATGCCCACTCTGGCAATGCCAGTGACGCCTTGGGCCTCAACGACAGCTTCAGGACCACGCCCGCTGCCGAGTATTTTGAGTAAGTGGGGGGTCCACTCCTCTGGGTTCAATGACTCTTCACTTGCTGTGTCTGCCTTAGGAAGGGAAGGACACAGAGCCGAGCACTCTATTGCAGCTCAGGGGTCAGCTACCCACCCTTGGTGCCTTAAAAGGGTGTGAGAGGACCCTATCCTTGTCCTGTGCTCATGTTTTCTTCCCTTGGATTCTTCTGGGACAACACTAGCATGAGTCCTCAGTAGAGGTGGAAGGCTGAGTAGGCCCATGGCTTCTCTGCCCTGCTCCCTGTTTGAGGTAGGAGGGGGCCAGCCAGAGGTATTACACACACTGTGTATGAAAGGCACTGGGCCCTGGGCCCTGGGGGCTGCAATGTCACCTCCAGTCACCTCCAGAGTGGGCTGGGTCTGAGGTTCTCATTCACCGGCCCTCCCTCTACAAGTAGGCCAGGTTCAGCTTTCTCCAGGAAAGATGCCTTCCTGGGCAGGCTAAGCTGCAGCCTCACTAAACAGACCAGGTCTGCAGGTGCACTGACTGTGTGCTTCTCATGATATGCTCTTTTCCTCTTACAATGCTGGTCTTTTCATGGTCTATCCTCAGTCCCCATGTGCAGCAGCCTTCCATGTGTCCCACTCCTCACCCCCTTTTGTCAAGCCTGGCCTTCTGCATTGCACACTAAGTGTCCCCCACCACCTAGAGGCCTATCCCTCCTCTCAAATGTATTCTCTGAATCCTTTCTGACACTGAGTCAGATCTTGGCTTCCCCTCCTCCCTCATGGCAAGAGGCAGGCTTTGGAAGGTCTGCATGGACTGCTAGAGGAGTTAGGTGTTTTCTTAAAGTATCATTGGGAAGACTGTGGTTTGGGCATGGGGGTTGTGTGATGGGCTGATTTTAGGAAGACACCCTTTTGGGTGGTTTGGGATTCGACATAGTGAAAGGTGTCTGAGGAGGCTCTTTTTCCCATAGTGGGAAAGAGAGGTGACTGCCAAGAAAGAACACCCTCCCCAATCCAGGAGGAGGGTAACTCTGAGCCTGGGAGGCTGAGGGCTTTCTTCTCATGGAACTCACAAGAAGGGTGAACTGGCTTCAGAGAATCAGCCTGGAATCTGCCCCATTTGATTTGTCTGGAAGATGTGGGGATGGGCGTATCCTGGAGAAATGGAGACACAGGCAGGTTACCTGAGTATGTGCATAGGACTCAGTGAGACAAGCAACCAAGAAATTGTAGAATTGTCCAAATACAGGAAAGCCAAGCATTCAATAAAGTGATTTTGTCTGTTCTTATGAGGAAAAAAACGGTGCTTCATTACTTCATTTCCTAAATGTCACAATATCTCATTAAGACGCTGAGACCAGGGGTACATGTGCTTTTGCCCATGTGGCCCCACTCTTGGGGCTAGCATGTAATGCAGAGAAGGGGCAGGGGACCTCTGCACTCAAAGTAGCCATGCAGAGGCGGTTGCGGTGAGAGCCTGGGCATGTCCTAGTCAGGTCCTACCACACATGAGGACATTCACAGGTAGCTCGTGCTGGAGATGGGTTTAATTTGTCATTTTGCCAACAAAACGGTGGCTCAGTGGTCAAGCTAGCATGTCTTTTACAACTTCAAGATCGATCTCAGTGCAACTTAGAACATCTGGAAAGCTTGCTGCAGTGTTGAAAGGTGCCGAGTGACACCATTTTAGAACTGCTTATCTTTTGTTTGGCAGGTGTGGAAAGAGTTCATTTATCCAAGTGATTTTCAGATAAGAAAATTAGAGGGAAAAAAGTCGTTACTCTAGTGATTTATAACTAAGAATTCTAGAGGGAAAGAATATACGTGATACGTGACTTTTAAAAATCAGACTAGTGAAATCTAATTGAAAATCTATAGCCTAGGGGGTAAGAGGGTAGGGGGACTGGGTTAAAAAGGTGAAAGAAAGCAAAAAAAAAAAAAAAAACCTCCTAGAGAACATTATGGTGATTATCAGAGAGAAAGGGGGTGAGGAGGTAGAAGGGGAATAAATAGTGATGAAAGGAAACTTGACTTGGGGTGGCGAATACACAATACAATATATGGATGATGTGTTATAGAATTATACCCCTGAAACCTATTTAATTTTATTAACCAATGTCACCTCAATTATTCCATTATAGACAAACAAACAAATAAATAAAGTGCAAGTGAAAATCTCCAGTCTTGGAGAGAGACACTGAGGCAGAAGGTGCCCAGGCCCCCACTTCATAAAGGACAGGTTAGCATGAGCAGGTGCTGCACCATCACTGGAGGTGATGGTGGGACAAGAGGGAGGCATTTGAAGAAAGTTTACAGCAAAGTCATGGATTGGTGATGATACTGAGGCCCTGGTGCTCCTCCCTGGAGTGGCAACTGGATTTCCCTGAGTCAGGTCCCTGTGACCATGTCAGAGCATTTTCCAGAATTTAAATCTACTCTATAAAGTGCACCGTAATAAAAAGGATCGCATGTTCCTGCAGGCACATATAATTAGGGGGCTCACCATGAAGTGCCAGGCCAAGATACTGCCATTGTAAATTAGTAAAGCTCTAAGTCTTCCATTGTGGGCACATGTAGCTCTGTCACTAACCATCATGGGACTCCAGTCCCCTGTGCAATATATAAAGTTATGAACTATCGTGCATCTGACAACTGGAATGTTAGCAGGGTGGATCTGAAAGGTCTTCACCATGCATTTTAACCCCAGGTCCTCAGAGGGTACAGTAACTCTCAGGCTTGATGAGATGGCTAATCACTCACTGGTCAATGGAAAGCACTCATACCTTCCTGGGCTGAGCAGTGCAGACTCAGAGTGGCTTTTTCATGCTCCACAGACTCTGTAGAACTCTCCCCAGCAGGTGAGAGTCCTGCAGGAGTTGATGTGTCCCCAGCTCCAAGGGTTCCAGAAGCCTTTCTGCTGCAGTTTTCTGTACAGACAAGTGAAAGGAAGCAGTCACAGTGGTGATGGCTCCACTCATGTGACGGCTCAGCCTGGGGACTAGGTAATGAAAAATCACTAGCCCATGAAGTTTTCTTTATTTTCATCCTTCTTACCTGAGAGAAAGAAACCCTTTAGTAGTCACCCCCAATTTGCCCATTTTATGGGGTCCCCATTTGTCACCCAGAACCTCTTTCCTCATTAGTCCCTGTGCTTGCTAACCCCCCACCTGCAGTCCCTAGTGGGTGTGCATGAGAAAATGCTATAGGCTCAGAGCAGAAACCAGAAGTTCATGGCTGTGACTCCAGAATCATGAAACAATGCAGTGAACACACTTGACAAATATGAAATCTGAGCTTGGAAAGGGCTCTAGAAACCCCAAAATAGGCCCATGCAACTCCCACCAATTTAAAATGTCCCTCAGTCTCGTAAACACTCACCAGTACCATCTTCAGCTACTTTTTAATATAAATTAGAAAGCTACAAATTTAGAGCTATAAATTTGCCTCTAAAAGACTGCTTTAGCTGCCTCCTATAAAGTTTCATATATTGTATTTTCATTTTTATTCAGTTCAAAGTGTTCCTTGATCTGCCCTTGTGATTTCTCCTTTGACTCATGAGATATTTTTGGAGTTTCATTGTTTAACTTTGAAACCTTTGGAGATTTTCTAGATATGTTTCTGTTATTGACTTCTAATTTAATTCTGATTTGGTGAGATGACATACTTGTAAAACCGCATTATTTCAAAATATACAGTGAATTGTTTTATGGCTTAGTATATGGTTGAAACTGGTAAGTGTTCCACAGGCACCTAAAAAGAATGTGTGTCCTGCCCTCACTGGTGTGGCTCAGTTGCTTGTGCATCATCCCACAAAGTGAAAGGCCATAGTTCGATTCCCAGTCAGGACACATGCCTGGGTTGCAGGTTCAATCCCCTATCAGGGCACATATGAGAGGCAATCTATCAATGTTTCTCTCTCATGTTGATATTTCTCTCCTTTTTCTCTTTCTCTTCCCCTTTCTCTAAAAATAAATAAATAAAATCTTTAAAGAAAAAGAAAGAATGTCCTGCTGTTGTTGGGCTGAGAGTTGTGTTGTTGGCCACTTCTTGTTAGCTCCTGGTGCTATGCAGGTCTCCTTACTTATTTCTGTCTATTTGTTCTATTGTTAGTGAGAAAGGGTGTTGAGTCTCAACCATAATTATATATATATGCCTATTTCTCTTCCCAGCTCTATTACACTTTGCTTCATTTGTGTATTTTGACTGTCATGAAATGCATGTATATTTATGAATATCAACTCTTTGAACTGACCATGTCCTTATTATGAAATGTCCCTCTGGGTAACATTTCCCATTCCAAAGTTGACTTTGTCTAATAGTATGTATGATCACCCAAGCTTTTCTATGAGTGATGTTTTCTACTTATTCAACATTTCGTGGGCTCTCCTACCCTTATGTACAGCAAGCTTCCATTTCATCTGAAGAATTTCACTGGACATTTTTTATAGGACAGACATGCAGGCAATGAATTCGCTCAGCTTTCTTTTCCACCTTTGTCCTTTTAACCTATATGTGTCAGATTTAAAGTGGGTTTCTTGTAGACAGCATAGAGATGGTTCTTGCTTTTTTATTCAGCATCTCAGCTTTTTTTATTTACAATCTTTGTCTTTTATTCAGTTTCCAATCAGTAATTATGAGTATGGTTGTGTTTAAGACTTTCATCTAGATATTTCTTCCTCTCCCATCTCTTCTTTGTTTCTTGTTTCCTGTGTTTATTCCTTCTTCCAAACTAATCAATTTCAGGCTTTTCTTTTATCTGCACTGTCGGCTAATAAACCATAGCTCTTTGTTTTAATTTTTAGTGGATATTACAGAGTTTACAGTATATACATTTAGCATACTGTAGACTACCTTCAAATAACATTATACCACTTCACATATAATGTGAGAGCCATTCACACTATATCTCCATTTTTCTTCATATTGTTTATGGAATAATTGTCATAAATTTTGTTTCTATTATGTTATAAACCCCACGATACATGTTACTGTTTTTTATCTAAACAGTAAATTACATTTTTAAGTAAACCTTTCTATTTACCTATTTATTCAACACTTTGGGTGCTCTCCTACCTTAATGGAGAGGTAGGTTTCCATTTCATCTGAAGAATCCCACTGAGCACTTCCTGTAGAGAAGACCTGCAACCAATGGATTTTCTCAGCTTGTTTTTCTAAAAATAATTTCGCTTTTTTTGGGGGGGGGATTTTTCCTATGGTGGTAAACTATACATTACAGACAATTTGCTATTACTACTGATTTTAAGTTCACAATTCAGTGGCATTAAGTAATTTCACATTGTTGTACAGCCTTCACCTCCATCATCCCCAAAACTTTCCATCTCCCAAACTGAACCTTTGTCCCCATGACCCACTAACTCCCCATTCCCTCCCCAACCCCAGGACCCACCATTTACTTTCTGTCTCTGCATTTGACACCCCTAGAGACCTCATATCAGAGGAATCATACAGTTTTGTCCTTTGTGTCTGGTTTATTTCACTTAGTATAATGTCCTCAAGGTTCATTCATGTTGTAGTATGTCAGAGTCCCCTTTCTTGTTTAATGCTGAATAATATTCCATTGTGTGGATGGGCCATATTTGGTTTATCAATGGACACTTGGGTTGCTTCTATCTTCTGGCTACTGGAAATAATGCTGCTATGAACAATGGTGTAAAGATATCTGTTTGAGTTCCTGCTTTCAATTCTTTTGGGTGTATACCCAGAAGTAGAATTGCTGGATTATATCAAAATTCTGTTTAATATTTTAAGAAACTACCATACTGTTTTCCACAACAGCTGCACCATTTTGCATTCTCACCAAAAATACATACAAGTTCCAATTTGTCTACATTCTTGATGATGCTAATTTTCTGTTTTGGTTTTTTTCCTTCTTGTTTTGATAGTAGCCATTCTAATGACTATGCAGTGGTATCTCATTGTGGTTTTGATTTGCATTGCTCTAATGATTAGTGACATTGAGCATGAATTAATGAGTTCATTTGTCATCTGTATACCTTCTTTGGAGAAATATCTACTCAAGTCATTTGCTCACTGTTGAATTGAGTTGTTTGAAGGGTTTTTTTTTTTGTTATTCACTATTAGGGGCTCTTTATATATTCTGATATTAATTTTTTATCAGATGTGTGATTTGCAAATATTTTCTTTCATTCTGTGGATTGTCTTTTTACTCAGTTGATAGTACATCTTAACGCACAAAAGTTTTTCATTTTGATGAAGTCAGTTATCTATCTTTTTCTTTTATTGTTTGTGCTTTTGGTGTCATATAAAAAAATCCATAGCCAAAAAATAAAAAAAATACAAAATCCAACTAAGCTCATAGACATAGAGAACTGATTGATGATTGCCAGAGATAAGGGGCTAATGGGTTAGAAAAACTGGGTGAACTGGTTTTTTGTTTGTTTAAATAAATTGAATATTTTAATTAAAAATCCATTGATAAATCCAAGGTCTTGAAGATTTATGCCTATGTGTTCTTCCAATAGTTTCGTAATTTCAGCTCTTACATTTTATCTTTTACCCGTTTGAGTGGAGTTTTGTACTGGTGTGAGGGAGCTATGGATTGATTTTTCTCCTGGCTGTAGGTCACATTTTCTTGCTTCTCGTTATATCTATAAACTTTTATATCGGGCGCTGGACTTGGTGATTTTAACATTTGTGCTATTTACATTTTGCGATCTTCCTTTCACGTGTGTTGGATTTGCTCCGATAGGGAGTTAATTTGCTTGTGGTACGGTTTTCTCCTTCTGCACCTTGCTGAAATGCTTCTGGGGCAGCCTTTGTTTCAGGAATTTTTATCTCCTCTACTGAAGTGGCCCTTCCAGAGTCCACTGAACTCTCCATGTGATCAGCAAGCCCCCTGCTCTGACTGGTGGGAGCTCAGTGGTCCTCAACCCTGTGTGAGCTCTGAGACCTACAGAGTCTCACCCTGTGGCTGAGTTCGTCGGCCCCTGTGGAGAGCCTTTCCAGCACCTCAGACTTCATCACTGTATCCTTCACACAGCAAGACCCCATGCTGAGCTCCGGACCCCTGTCTGCCATTTGAAAGGTGCCTCCACAGGGGAAGTGAGGTCTTGCAGGGCTCACCTCATCACTTCCCTTCTCCCAGGAGTCTCAGCCCTGTGCCAGTCCCACATCTGCAAACACTCATTTGGTGTTCTTTGTCCAGCTTTCTAATTGGTATGGTGTCAGTCTCTCATGGCCAGAATGGAGGCTCTTCGCCCCCTTGCCCTGGCAGCCAGCTTCCCTCCCCCCAGCAGGGCACGGGTTCAGAATCAGGCTGACTGGGTCCAGGTCCCGGCTGTGTTGCTGGCTGACTTCGGGTTGGAGAGCATTCAACCCTCAGTTCCTGGGTTCCTTGTCTGTAAAAGGGCAGGACAGCTGCAGCGGGCACCCAACGTGCAGTGCAGGTAAAGCCTACAGCATGACTGGCACACCCCAAATTCTCCGGTACCCAGATCCAAGAACCATGACAACAAACACACCTGAAGAAGGAATGCAGCAGGAAGTGGAAGTGGTACAGCCCTGCTAAGACTGGTAACATCCCAGGCCATCACTATTTGGTCCTCCAGGCTACTTGTGTTCCAGAAATTTCTGCATTTCAGCCCCAAACCACCTTACCCAGACATACTTTCATCATCCCGCCATGTGCCTGCTCTTAGGAAGCACCTACCCTTCCCCGTGCCCTGCAGCATCCTGGCATGACTAGTGTGGCTATCCTATGCAACACCGGTACCTGCTGGCTCTTCTCCCCAGCTGACAGCATCTGCAGTGCCCTGTCCTCTGAAGTGTCTGTGGGTTTCACACAACTTCAAACAAGAGGAATTTTTAGTCTTGGGGAAGGAAATTGACCAGTGCAGATGAGGTGCTAATTCTCAAAGCAACTTGGAATGTTTAAGGTACGCACATGTGCAGTGTCCTAGAAGCAGCTTTATGAGTAAGTCCCCAAGGAGAAACATGTACTTTCTGCCTCCAGGCGTGGCGTGCTGCACCTCCATGAGAGCCACGGCATCAATGACCTGGGCCCTCCCCGCTGGCAGCTCACATCCTGCCTCGTGCTGGTCATCGTCTTGCTCTACTTCAGCTTGTGGAAGGGAGTGAAGACTTCTGGGAAGGTGAGGCTGCAGCCTCACCAACTGGGATATAGACACCTGGCTGTGGTTGGGTAGTGGACAGGGGGGCTATGTTTGGGTTGTAGAGTGTAGGAGTGGCTGTGGTGGGCTGGGGAGTGGATAGGGAGCCTGTGTTTGTTTGGGGAGTAGACAAAGAGGCCATATTTGGGTTGGGGAGAGGACAGGTGGCAGTGGTTGGGTTGGGGAGTGGACAGGTGGCAGTGGTTGGGTTGGGGAGTGGACAGGTGGACCAAGGTTAGGTTGGTGAGGGGACAGAGGTGGCTGTGATTATGTTGGAGAGTGGACAGGTGACCATGTTTGGTTTGGAAAGTGAACAGAAGGCCGTGGTTGGGTTATAAGGTGGACAGGGGGTGTGGTTGTGTTGCAAAGTGGACAATGACCATGATTGGGTTGGGGAGTGAACAGGTGGACTGAGGTTGGATTGGGAAGTGCAGAAGTGGCTATGATTGGGCTGAAGGAGTGGACAGTGACCAGGGTTGAGCTGTGAAGGAGAGGGGTGGCTACGGTTGGGCCAGGAAGTGGACAGGGGGCCGTGGTTGGGTTGTGGAGCCAGCACATGACTATGGTTGAGGAATGACGTCACAGGGAAAGCACCCACAGCAGAGTGTTTCCAGCATTAAGACAAGCACAACATAAGTTGGTTTTTGGCTGATGAAAATATTTTGGTTGTTATCTGGACATCCAAAGCGACTTTGACCAAAATGTGTTCATCACTTGTAATAACACATGTAGTGAAGCACCAACACACGGAATTATTTGTTCACGACAGCACTTTTCTTCCCCTCCCTGCAGCTGGAACCCATCCTGCACACGGAATCCGGGCACACATTTGCACAATCAGTAAAATGTGCTCACATCTCACGCATCAAAAATTCAGCCACTCCTGCTTACTCATACTGTGACAGACCAAATACGGAACAGGAATGTCCCTTCCTTGCCAAGTTGTTTGTCCTCTTTTAATCCCTGGGAAAGATGCACAGGATAGAAGGCATTTATAGTCTCGCCCCAGTGATCATTTGCTGAGCTGGTGTCCTGTGAATGTTTGGGATGTTGAGCTTCCCAATCAGAGGCCACTTCTCTCTTAATACAAACCATCAGGATGACCTTGTGCCCGCTCCCTGCCAGCAGGTGGCCTGTGCAGCCTGGTGATGCTGTCCTCTCCCCAGGTTGTGTGGATCACGGCCACCATGCCATACATGGTCCTTTTCGCCTTGCTCCTCCGAGGAATTACTCTTCCCGGAGCCATGGATGGCATCAGAGCATACCTGAGCGTGGACTTCCATCGGCTCTGTGAGGCGTCCGTGAGTATGCCCACTGCTCAAGGCCCTCCACTTCTAGGGGGAAGGCTGCACTTCCCCCTAGCCAGCCCACCTCCTGGAGAGACGTTCTTGGGTTCCCTGGATAAGCAGCAATGGGGCTGCCCAGTCTGGGCCAGAGAGATTTGCCACTTGCCTGGAATGCAGCCCTGAGCTCCAGCTCCCTGTTCATCAGCCCAGCAAGGCTGAGACCTGCCAGCATCTCAGGAACCCAGACTCCCTCCTCAGAAAACCAAACCTCATTGGTGGAACACTCCAGGTGCCCAGAGTACAAGAGCCTGATCTAGGTCACATCATATCAAAAACTAAGTCCAGAGCTGGGCTATAGATTTCTTCAGCAAAGGAATAAATACTTGGAGACAGCTTTCTGAGGAAAGGAGGCTTGGCCAGGCCATGGGAGAGGGGCTCCCAAGAGAGAGAAGGGGTGGCATTGCAGGGAAACAGCCCAGAAATGGCAGGACCAGTGGCTGGTGGATGTAGGGGTGATGAGAGTGGCAGCTTTAGAAAGGGGCTTGTTGCAAATCGAGGTGGACTAGATTGAGGCAGAGGGTGGAGCTCCAACAGCCACCCAGGGAAGCTCAACTAGCTGTGGAGGGAGCATGTGGACAGAAGAGAAAGCTCCAGGCTGGAGGCAAGGGGCCCTTTGGAAGGTGGCTACCTTATGCTGCTTGGTGGCAATGCGAGGTATGGGGCTCAACAGGACTCAGGAAGAAGCGGCCCAGAGGCAGAAATGGGAAGTAGTGGGTGAGCAGGGAGGGCCATCGTGGCTCCAGGCCCCCAGGAAGCCCAAGGAGGGAAAGCTGCTGCAGGAGCCACAGGAGGAAGTCTCCTTGAACACAACACCTGAAGACCATAAGGTGAGGACAGCAGTGAGGGACAGTGGTGTGGCATTGACTAGGAGCCATGCAAAGACAGGAGATGAGGCCATGAGAGCAGACACATGTTCCACGAGTGTGAAGGAAGAGGGAGCTGGACAACCAAAGAGAGAGGAAATGCAGCAGAGGCCCGGGACCACAGCTCCAGGCAGCAAGCAGGAGGGAGCGAAATGGATGCTGGCACTAGTTCATACTAGATTGACTGTGGTTGAATGGGGAAATGATACTGATATCCCAAGGGAAATTGCAAATAACGCACAAAGATGCAGCCTGCTTTTCTTCCCGCTCCTCAGGCCAGTGACACAGGAAGGTTTATTCTGAGATGCATTTGCCTCCGATCATGTTGTTGATGCGAGTTGCTTGTTGATAATGATGTTAAGTTTAAATTCCACTCTGTTCCATGGAGTTGGAGGTCTCTCAGCCGGAGACACTGGCGGGGAGGACAGGGAGCTGAGGCCTCGGTCTTTACACAATTGCCCGTGGCAGCTGGCGTTCGCTTCCGGCAATTATCTCTAACAGCCGCTCATCTCCCCTCTGGCTGCAGGTGTGGATCGACGCTGCCACCCAGATATGCTTCTCACTGGGCGTTGGGTTTGGGGTGCTAATTGCCTTCTCCAGTTACAATAAATTCACCAACAACTGCTACAGGTAGGGTATGAGCTCCCGTCCCATCCCCTCCCATAAGACAGTCTGCAAAATCAAGGGGGCATCGCTGATATGGGGGCGGGGTGTCATGATATGTCCCTGGTTGAAAGAAGGGAAAGGGGGAAAATAGGCTGTGCATGCAAAACCTCTGAGCCAAATGGCTTTTTAAAAGATTTTATTTATTCATTTTTAGAGAGGAAAAGAAGGAGAGAGAAAGAAAGAAAGAAAAATATCAATGTGTGGTTGCCTCTTGAGAACCCTGTACTGGGGACCTGGCCTGCAACCCAGGCATGTGCCCTGACTGGGACTCCAACTGGTGACCCTTTGGTTCACACCAAATGACTTTTTAAGTGGAAATTAAAATGGCATAACTACAGGCAAAATGTTGATTCTTGTTTTAAGGGAAGTATTAAAACACATGAAGGTGTGTATGTATCACTTTCCTGTGAGAAAGCTCCTAGGTTCCAGGAGCCACAGATTCCCCCTGAGGCCCCACCCCTGCCACTCACCCTCCCCTGTCCCTTACCCACCCCTGCCTTGCTCCTCCTCCCAAAGCCCAGGGTCAGGCTTCTCCCCAGACTTCCCCACAGTGAAGCACCTGCACTTTGTCCCTCGTCTGCACCTGGCAGTCTGGGTGCTGGAGGGTGTCCTGGACCCCATGCAGAGGCACCCAGGAGAACCAGCATCAGGACAGGTGGGAAAGAGGCAGTTCCGTGTACCCACCTTGGCTGGGTCTCCTAGGCTGGAATGACCTGACTTACCTGTAGCCACACACTGGACCCAAAATCCTTCTAAAAACAGAAACAGAATTTATCTGGGACCTGAGTTCTTTGACCTTTACAGGCTCTTATTTATATTCTTTCATATCCTGAGGATAAAATGTGGTAAAGATACATAGACAGTGTGCAGAGCAAAATGACCAGACAGACCACTGCCAGGGTCCCACAAAGACTGAACTCTGGATGGCAGTCCCTGAGAGAGCCCTGCCTGAACCCACGTGTGCCCCCCAGGCTGGGGCACTCTGTGATGTCCTTCTCCTAGGGCTCCCAGAAGGGCTGACCCACCCCATCCGCCCCTGCTCTTCTCGGGCCCTCAGAGTGGGGTCTCCAGACCAATAGCACCAACCTGCCAGGAGCAGCAGGAAATCACGTCATCTGGGGCCCACCAGACACACCCTGTCAGAGCCTGCATTGCACAAAGTGCCCCCTCCCTGACAGCCCCCTCAGCACAGGTGGGGACCCCTGTAGCTATCTGTTCTATCCACCCTGAGCCCCAGCATTGCTGGTGGGAACTCTCTTGCCTTCAGCTCTGTGTCTTCTGTCCTAGGAACCTTTCAGTCCCAGGCAAACATGATGGTTAGTCACCCAAGGGACATTCCCAGAGCCCAGAGCCTACAGCCAGGAGGTCCTGGATGGGAGGGTCCATCCCCACTGGCAGGGCAGCTGGAGGACAGGCTCTGTGGCTGCAGGAGGGAATGGCCATGCGCATTGAGAACCAGGCATAGTCAATTGAGATTGATGACTGGAAATTGAAGGGGCTGCAGTGCTGGGATGGGGTGTCTTGTCCTCACAGAGATGCCATCATCACCACCTCAGTCAACTCACTGACAAGCTTCTCCTCCGGCTTCGTGGTCTTCTCCTTCTTGGGGTACATGGCCCAGAAACACAATGTACCCATTGGGGATGTGGCCAAGGATGGTGAGTCCCCCAGGGGCAGGCTGGGACCCCCACACCTCCACCTGCTCTAGGTCAGTTCTCGGAAAAGTGTTTTCCTGCAAAATGAGAGGGAGATGCACAGGCCTTGGTACCATAAGGGTTGCTGACCTAAATGATCACCGGGTGGGGAAAGCTGGGAGGCTGGGCACAGATGTGGGTGCTGAGAGGAGACTCTGATTGCTGCAGCCTCTTGGGCTCTCAGGGGTCCGCTTAGTTCTAATTCATGTTAGAAACCATGACATAGGCAGCCTTGAATCAGGTCAGTACAGGCTCCAGGCCTTTTGAGATTGCTGCACCCCATCCCCTGCCTTCAGACTGTTCTGCAGGTGAGTGGTGAGGGGTCTCTCCGAGTTTGCCCCAAGTTTAAAGGATTCCCCCTTATCCTGATGTCTGGGAAGTCCCCTCTTCAGCTGGGGCTGCTCCTTAGACTCAGAAAAGCCCCGTGAGTGCCACTGACTAAGCTTCCTGGGTCATTTTACTCGACTCAGTGATCTTTCAGGAGGGAGGAAGCAGAGGACGCACCTCACCTGTGCCCTGAGCTCTCAGCTGGGCAGCTTCATCATCCCATCCAGTTCCTGGAGAGTTGAACATTAAGCCCCCACTTTGAAAGCAGGATGCAAAGACTCCCAGATCAAAAGGACCCCTCTGAAAATGCAGAGAAAGCAGGGGGCTGGAACAAAACCTCCCCAAGTTTTCAAGTCCATATTCTATCCTCTAGGAAAAAAATTTAATAAAGGCAGGAGAATGGGAGGGAGCATAATGCAAATAAGTATGGAGCAGTGAAATTTACTCACTTGCATTTATGCACCTTCACCGTTCTTTTTGCCCTTTATTATGATAAATAGCAATAACTTACAAAAATCTCTATTAACCCCTGAAAATAAAGCTGAATGTTTTCTATGTATTTGCATGACAAGAAAAGTAAATGTCATTTAGGGCTCTAATTCTCAAAAACACAGTGTGAAATGTTAACTTAGGTACGTAAATGCAAGGTGAGGGTATTGACATTAGTTCATCCCAGCTAACGGATATGTTTCTGGGTTCCTAGATTTGTGGCTTTTGGACTCAAAGAGCCACTCCCTGGCCCTGCATTGGAAAAAATCACCCTAACATGGGTCTTTGGGAATCAGAGAGCCCAGCTCAACCCCAGAGCTCATAGAGCCCCTGAAAGTGTGGCCCATCTCCAGCCTTTGTCCCACCCTTTAGAAGGACCATAAGTGCCCCGTTCATGGCTGGTGCCAACACAGGCCAACTGAGGACTGGGAGAATCAGAAAAGCCATAAAGTGCCCCTGTAAGCAGAGGCTCAGTGGACAGTGCTAGTCAGCTAAGTATGAGTGTATTCTAAAGTTGACCATGAAAATGGTCAGTTGCCAACTTCCTTGGGAATATTTTTTACTTTGACTCATCTGAGGCCAAGCTGCATTTCATCTTAGGTGGGTCCTGCTGTTCCCATCTCCCTCTCTGTCCAAGCCCACAGTGTTCATTCACCTCTACCCGGATCCTACCCGCTGGGGATGAGGAGCAGGTGTGGCTGCCCACGGCACCTGTCCTGACCCAGCAATACCAGTCCCAGAATGCTGTAAAAAAAAACAACAGGCCGATACAAGGAGCACTGGCATGTGCACAGGAGCACACCCCTTCCTGGCAACACAACTCACAGCATTCATGAATGTGATCTCTGCATTCAGTCTGTGGTTTTAAAGAGCACATTTAGAATACTTCACAGCACAGAAAATATTTACTGCATATCACTCATGAACTGCAGTGAGTGCAAGTGTGTGAGCATGCGTATGTGTGTGCGTCTGCAACCTGCATAGGAAGGCCAACCCCAGGGGGTCACTGCACGCTCAGGAACACAGGCAGGCAGGACCCCATAGCTCCTCCCCCTCCTCCCCCAGAGCCCCCACAGCCAGGGAACAGGAGTGATTTGGAGAGCAGCAGAGCCTCTGGGGATGGTGGGACAAGTGCATCAGTCTCCCCTTGGTTTTGGGTTTCCATTCTCTAGAGTTTAGAGCCAGGTGTCCGCCAAGTTCACAGGAGGAAGGACAGGAGAGGTGGTGATGGGAAAGATTTTGTGCTACTAAATCTGAAGGCACTTGAAAAGGGCTGAGCTGGCCTTTCAGGGGCAGGGGAGGAGGTGTAGACATGACGTAACATGTGAGGTGACACTCGGTGGCAACCAGAGGTTCTGCTTTCAGGACCAGGCCTGATTTTCATCATCTACCCTGAGGCGCTCGCCACGCTCCCGCTGTCCTCGGCCTGGGCTGTGGTTTTCTTCATCATGCTGCTCACCCTGGGGATCGACAGCGCTGTGAGTGACATCAGTATTTTCTGTGCCCAGGACTCTGACCATGACAGCCAGGCTCATCTGCAGCCTCAGATGCTCCCTGGGGGTCCCCTAAAGTTTCTGTTCTCACACAGAGCCCCACATGGGTGGCAGGGAGGGGGTCCCATGATTATTTGAGCTCTTTCCTGGGATAGGGTGTTTGGACCAACTTACCCCTTCTTTTTTCATTTGGAGGCACCAGTGCACCCTCTGCCTGAGCCTCCATGGACCCTAAACACACATGATGCAAGAGGGCTGCACACTTAAAGCAGGTTCCTCATGACTCATCACTTTTTGTGACCCCTAAACCTCCAGGAGGGATGGCTGCATTTGCAGGGTAGGGCAAAAGCAGTCTCCAGCCGCCGGCCAGGCCTGACCACGTAACGTCTTATATGTGTCTCTTCATATGTGTGTGCGTGTGTTTGTGTGTGTGATGTATGCTACGGGGCAGACATTAGGCCCTTGTTCATCTCTGGCCCTCGTAGATTCCCTCAGTCTCCATCCCCACTGCCTGCTCATAGCCAACAGCTGAGACCTCAAGGTCCTCATGACTGGCCTTGTTCACCTGAGCTTTCTGCAATGCACAGAGACCTTCCCCACAAGAACTGGTCACACTCCATAGCTCTCCACGTCCTCTCCCACCAGTCCAGTCACTAGCCCCTCAGGGTGGACCACACCCTTGGGCAGCATGTCTGGTGGGGATGCAGTCATGACAGCATTTCCTGGGGGAGATGGTCTCAACAGAGTAGGACAACCAGGGTCCCCAAGTAGTCAGGGTGACGTGAACAACACTGCATCATGATATTCAGAGTCAGGAAGGGTTTGCGTGTTAGCCATGAAGCACCTTTCTCCCCACACCAGGACTTCCTAGTGGCGGAAGGCCACCACCAGTGGATGGGGTGGCCACCCCCAGTCTTCTCTCCCCAGTGGCTGTGCCTTGAGAGAAGCCCACACAAGGGCTGTCTTGTCCTTTAAGGCATTCTGTACCCTGGACACCAGGCAGTTCCCAATTCATGTACATTCCCAGGAGAACATCCACTGAATTACACGTAAATTGCACCAGGACGTGATGTTAAGTGACCCCCCCCCCAGTACATCCCCTGCTCTGTGTTGGCTGCAGATGGGCGGGATGGAGTCAGTGATCACCGGGCTCATTGATGAGTTCCAGCTTCTGCACAGGCACCGGGAGCTCTTCACTCTCTTCATCGTCCTGGCCACCTTCCTCCTCTCCCTCTTCTGCGTCACCAATGTACGTACAGACTCAGGTTCACCTGACGATGTCTCATTAGCACTTGGCACTGGGTGGCAGGGCTTGTGCTGTCAGGCCAGATGGAGCCACAGTTTTTCTAAGAGCTAAATCTCCACAGAAAAAACAACCCTCAACTTATATTCAGGTAGCTGTGGTAACCCTCAGGGTAGCCATGGTCACATGCATGGTAGCTGTGGTCACATGGAGTAGCTGTGGTCACAAGAATAGCTATGGTCACGTGGAGTAGCTACGGCACAAGTGGAACTTGGTCTAGTGTTACTTCAGCACCTGGACAGCTCCCTGGGAGGTGCCCTTGCAGCCTCCCTCCTGTTGGATTTGAGGGAGGCCAGTCTACACAGGGCAGGGCACACAGGTCACCTCCTTTCCCCATAGAAGCTCTGCCAAGTTTGGCATTTGGTTGCTTTCATTTCTAATGGCACCTGAAGCCCTGAGAAAGGAGAAGAGGTCGTCTGTTTTTTTTGTAATAGACGTGTTCCCAAGAAGTTGTGGGTGGATTGAATTTCAGTGACTCCGATCAGACTTTATAGGGAGTAAAACAGAATCTGTCTGTAAACTGAACCCACAGGCCAGGTTTATGTTTTGGGAAAAGCACTTGCGAGGGTGAGGCTTTCACCAGCCAGGTGTGCCATGCCAGGACATGCAGAGTCCAGTAGGCACTCTCCTCTCTTCCAGGGTGGCATCTATGTCTTCACACTCCTGGACCATTTTGCAGCTGGCACATCCATCCTCTTTGGCGTGCTCATTGAGGCCATTGGGGTAGCCTGGTTCTACGGTAAGGATGAAACCTTTCCTGGGGGCCTGGCGTGCTTCACCAGTGGGAGAGCTAGCCTCCGTGCCATCTCTGTGACTGGCAGAGCTGGCTGCCTCTTTGTTACTATGCTGCTTCCTTTCTGGTAAAGCTGCCTTGAAAAGGGATGAATATTAGCTCTAGGAAACTAAATTGTGGTGACCACAGCAATACAGAGATGAGATGCTTGGCAACCATCATTCCAACGGCTCAATGAAGACAGTATGGATGCTACCCAAAAATCCTTACCTTGGTCAGAGGCATTTAGTGTGGCCACTTAATTATATTATGAAGATGCCATAATTGACTCTTAAGAAAGAACGGTTTCCTGGGATGTTGGAACACTGTCATTGGTGGACGTAAGGTCTGTGTCCAGCTAACCAGAAGGTCACTAGCCCCCAAGACATCAGAGAAACAAGCTGAGGCTATTCCTCGTCAGAGAACATGATTAACAAATGCTCTTCATCAGTCATTGTGTTTCAAGGTGCCGCTGCTCATGTATCAGGCTCCTATAGCACAGAACTCCTTACCTACCAGAGACATCACTGCTCACCTGACTTCAGGCTCTTCCAGATCCAGGTGCTGCTTCATAAGTTAGAACTGTGAGTCCCACAGGCTGGAGGCCTGCTGGTCAGCAGACAGCCCCCAGACAAGGCACAGCCCCAGCCTGCATCCATGGCCTTCCATCCATCCTGGCATGGAGACCAAGTGTCATTTAACAGCAGCAGAAGAACCTAGAGGAGGCTTTGCCCTTTTCCCAGGGCTGGCCTGGGCAGGCCACCCACTTCTCTTCCCTCAGTTTTCTCTCCCATAAAATGCACCATGGTACCAACTCAGCTCACCTGACCAGGTGTCTTTAAGGAAAATAGGCACATGGCTCTGAACTGAGGCTAAAGGCCTGATGTTGCACAAACTCCAACTTCATGTGACCCCTCATCTCACAGAGGGGGTCATATTCTCTGCCACGGAGCCATGGAAACTATAATTTATTAACATGCCCTGGTTTTGAGAGGCTTACCTGACAGTTGCATCTTGAGAACATTTTTTTCAATTATATTTGTTCTACAGAAAGAGGAAACATTGAACTCTCATTCAATAGAGAAATATTGAAGGAAATATTGTATTTTCATTGGCACCTTGAATCAATACCTTGTATCTCTCCCCTACCCCCAAAATAACATCTCATGGAGCAAGAGAAGCTTCGAGCTTCGCCCACAGCCATAAACCCACTGCTGGTGGAGGCTGGAGGGAACCTGGCTGGACGATGGTTGCCTACCCCCAAGGGTGTTCCCCAAGCCCTCAGAAGACAGAGATCTGCATTATTTCCCCCAAAAGCAATTCATATCCCTCTAACTTAAATATAATAAAACAGAGTCTGCATCAGAACACACTGACCTACTGGTGTGCCAAGGAGCCCTGTGGGTCTCAGTGCTGAGGGCCCAGTGCCAGGCAGGGTAGCCCTGGACCTGCTCCTGGGCCTGAGTCCAGAGGGGCCGTGGGGCCCCAGGTGGACACTCCCCTCTTTGCTGGCCTTTGGGTTTGCCCTTCTCCATTCTTCTTTGCCCCCAGGTCCATTTTCACATCCAGGGTTTTGATGGTGGGACTGCAGTGTGAGAGGGAATTCTGAATGGAGGTCCTTCCTGATATGTTCCCACACGTGGCACCTACAAGACGTACCCAACAAGCTCAGCAAACCAGCCATGACAGTATGACCAGAGCCCAGGCTAAATTCGGGGGCAGCAAACCCCTCTTTTAGGATCCCCTGGAGAAAATACTGGTCATCTGGTAATAGCTTTCCTTTAACAATGATGCTTACACATACAGTAATGAAATGCCATTCATCCTTTAAAAAAGGAAAATCCTGACACATGCTACCATGGGGATGGTCTATGCTGAGTGAGATAAATCAGTCCCCAAAGGGAAAATCCTGTGTGCATTCTCTCAGAGGTTCCTGCAGCTGTCACATGCGCAGAGACAGGCAGCTGAGGGGTGGCTCCCCGGGCCGGGGGAGAGGGCGAGGGGGCTCCTCTTCAGTGAGTTCAGAGCCTCAGTTTGGGAAGATGGAAAAATTCTAGAGATCAGTGGAGATGATGGCTGCACAATGAGGTGACTGCTCTTAAGGCCACAGAACTGTTCACTTACAGATGGTTAAGATGGTTAAGTATTTGCCACAGATTTTTAAGTGAAAAAATGATTGCAGCAGGCGGGCAGGGACAGCTGCGGGACATGGGGAGGAGGACCTGAGGTGAGCGGAGGGGGGAGAGTGGTCAGGCAGAGTGGCTGCTTTCCCACAGGTCTCCCTGAAGGACCCTTAGGATTGAGGAGTAAATGTCACCCAGTGTCACCATGGGGGACATGTGTGGGGATTCCTGGTCAGCAAGACCACTGGGTAGTCTGGAGTGAGGCTGGTTGCTACAGGAGGCAGCCTGAGCTTGAAGTCCCCTGGGGGGGCCAGGGGTCACTGGGGACCAAGGCCCTCAGTGACCTGGGTCTTGGGGAAAGTGCTGTGCTGACCTCACCACTTGGCTCTCCCAGGTGTGCGGCAGTTTAGTGATGACATCAAGCAGATGACCGGTCAGCGGCCCAGCCTCTACTGGCGGCTGTGCTGGAAGTTCGTCAGCCCCTGCTTCCTCCTGGTAAGGGGCCAAAGGCCATGCAAAGGTTGCTGCTCTGCCCCAGCTCTCAGGCCTAACCCAGAGTCAGCGGTGGTGGCCGCAGGCAGGTTTTCACTTGGGTAAGTGAACGTGCTTGAGGCTGCGGAGGGGGCTCCATGCTTCCTGGAGACCAGAAGGGCAGGCTGGTCCCAGAAATCCTCTCTGGTCTCCTGAAGGTGTGCTCCACTCCCACTAGACCCACTGAGAAACCTCACACCCAGGGTGATCTTCCCATAACTAAGGCCCTCATGTGTCCTGCATTTGGCCACCCCTCTGCGTTAGAGGGGAGGCCTAAGATGAGTGAGATTATTGACTTCCTGCCTGGAGGACCAAGATAGAATTCAGACCACCAGGGGAGACAAGTCCTCAGTCCAGAGGGCAGAGTAATGTGGACTCTGTTACAGCTCTGCCCCCAGGGACCCTCCCCAGGCCCAGGCACCACTCATGTCTACTAGCTGCCTGGCTTTTAGCATCTGGGCCAAATCCACACGTGCCTGGTTTAGCAGAGCACAGGCACGGCATTCGTTCCAGGCAGCCCATGGCTCCTTCCACACTGCAGCAGCAGGGCTGAGTGGTTGTGACTGAGACCTGATGGCTCTCGACACCTAAACCCTCCTGGCAGATCTGAACAGGTAGCTCCAGATGGCCATTCAAGGCCAAGTCCAGGTCTGAGTGGAAAGCCCAGGAGCTGTGCAGAGAGGTCAGCACCCCCTGGCCCTGGCTCTCCTCTCACCTCAGCCAGCCCAGTGGTCACCTCAGGGAGGCCTGGGGTGGACAGGCAGCTCAGGCAGACCCAGTCACAGACCAGCCCAAATGCTAGTGAGTGAAAGAGAGAGAGAGGCATCAGAAGTTCAGCGATCTGAACGGTGCTTCTCCCAGAGCCACGCCTGCACATTTGGGAGCTGCCTGTCTCCCCCTCCTGGCAGCGTGAGGCCGGTCTCCAGTATGTCCATCTCCCCAGAGTCCAGAGAGTGAAAGCTGTGGGTGTGTGACCTCGAGACAGGCAAGCTGTTCTTGGGCTGCTCTACTTGCTCAAGTCCCCCAGATGGAACAAGGTGTGAGGTTGTCAAAGGCCAGCTGAGGGCATTCCCACTAGTCAAACTCAGAAAGAAGTGAGAAGATGTGCGTCTCATGAACGCTGTCTTGTGACAGCAACTCGGGAGTCACTGGGCAGCTGCAGAAGCGGGCCCATCGCCTGGGTTCCCTGGTTTGCAGGGCTGGGGTCCCTATAGCTGTGGTGGCTGGGAGACCCTCCACCCCAACTCAATGGCTCCATTCCACCTCTGTGCCCACCCCCTGCCACCTGCCAGCCAAATGTCACTACCTGACCTCTGCCTTTGCTTTCAGTTTGTGGTCGTGGTCAGCATCGTGACCTTCAGGCCCCCGCACTATGGAGACTACGTTTTCCCCGAGTGGGCCAATGCGCTGGGGTGGACCATCGCAGCATCCTCCATGTCCATGGTGCCCATCTATGCGGCCTACAAGTTCTACAGTTTGCCCGGGTCCCTGCGGGAGGTGTGTATGTGGACAGGACTTCTTACCCCTCCCAGGCACCTGATCATGAGGCCACTGACTACATCAAGTGGCGTCTCACTTCCTGCTGGCCAAACTCTGCACATAAACTGCATCAAATCTCAGTACCCAAGGCAGCAGAGGCTGTGGGAGGGTCCCCTAGGGCTGCGACACTGGAGGAAAACCTGGCCTCAGTGAGTCAGAGATGGCAGCTGCTGAGAGGTGGGCCCCAGAGGACCACCAAGGAGCACAGCTGCTCTCTGTCTAGGCCCTGGGGCCTGGGCCATTTGGGCAGGAGGTAGAAGGAAGGCCGGCTTCCTGGAGCTGAATGGGACAGAAAGCAGATGCCTCTCCTCCTGTGTGGCATGTAAGATTCAGGTGCCCTGGGGCCCAACTCGAGCCAGTGGGAGTGAGTGCTGTTTACTTCCACTCGGAGCCCACCATGAGCTGATGTGGGGACAGGAATTCTCCAGCATCTGCCTTTTCAGCTTGTGCCACACTCTGCTCCAAGGTCTAAGGGGACCCAGATGTCAGCTCCTGCAGCTGACCACAGGCTGACTGGGGAGCCGAGTCACCTCTCTGAGCATGTGCCAGTGCCCGCGGTCTCTCCATCTCTCCTAGAAAGTGGCCTATGCCATTACTCCAGAGAAGGAGCGCCAGCTGGTGGACAGAGGGCAGGTGCGCCAGTTCACGGTGAGTATGTGCTGCTCCCCCGCGCCGTCCCCTTGGCTGATGCAGACGGGTCTGGAGAGCAAGGCTTATTCCTGAACCACAGCTCTCAGAAAGCTGGGAGGCTCATTTATTCATTCAGCAAATGCTCCCTGACACCACCTTCTGCGGACCCCTGACCTGAGGAGGACCAGGCAGCAGATGAAGTATATCTGATGTAGATGGGAATGTGGAGAAAGAGAAAGCAAGAGAGGGGCAGAGTGTGACTTGGGGCCTACCAAGGAGGCGGCATCTGAGCAGACGTCTGTGTGGCATGTAAGATTCATCTTACATGCTACACATTCCAAGGGGCCTACATTCCAAGTGGGGACACAGCAGGGAGAAAGGCCCTGAGCGGTGGGCAGGGCAACTGTAGGATCAGTAAAGCATGCGTGCCCCACTGGGGGATGAGCTAGGGAGAAAAACCTGGAGCAGCCCAGGTCACCTGCAGGAGGCGAGAGGCTCCAGAAGGTCTAGAGCTGGGATCTGATGGAGCCCAGATCAGATGACAGTTGACAGGATCACTCGGACCCCTCTATCAGGGTGGGTCTGCAGAGTGTCTGGGGGCGACAAGGGGAGGCTCAGGTAGGAGACAGTAGGGGCCATACCAGGCCCACGGCAGTGTTCATTCTTTCTCCCCACCCTACAGCTGGGAGACATCTGCTCACAGGGGAGCTTCCACCTGCATTTATCACATGCCATGGAGCAGCTGCAGAAAGGGCCCTGACACTGTTGACAGAGCAAACTCGTGACACATTTTAACTCCCACACCCTATGAGGGGACCCCTAAAGCACAGAGAGGCTAAGGACCAGCACACAGTCACATAGCTGGTCAGGGGGAAGTGAGCTGGTAGGCATTCCCACTTCCATCACCTCCTGAGACAGCCCCAGACCGGGCGAGGGCCGAGTTGGGGCATGAATGTCAGCTGTGAATGCTGGACAGCCAATCCTTCCAGAACTTGGATGCCGCATTGACTCAGAAACCATCTAAGGGGCATGATTTCAGGCAGGTGTGGACAAGGGAGGTGTGTGGGGACAGAGAACTTTCTCATACACAGTTTGAAGGGCAGATGCCTTGGTGCAGGGTCCTATTCTTGCTTTGCTTACTCTTCATTTATTTCCACTCCTGTCTATTATTTCTTCATTCTTCTTTCTTTGGGTTTACTCTGTTATACTTTTGTCAACATCTTAATTTAGACTTTGGATCACTGCTTTTCAACCTTTCAGTTTTCTGATATAAGCCTTCAAAGCTATGAAATTTCCCTCAAAATGCCCCGCATGCTGTATTCTACAACTTTTAACAGCATTTTTCTTATTATTCAGTTCTAAGCATATATTAATATTTATTCTGATTTCTTCAAGTCTGCTTTTAAATTTCCAAATATATGGGAATGTTTCATGTATCTTTTTGTCATCAATTTCTAAATTAACTGTGCATTGTGTTCAGACACCTATGCTCCCTGTTCTTTGAAGCGTGTTGGGATTTCTCTGTGGGTGAGTATCTGATCCATTTATCAACATTACTTATTCAAATTTTAATATTTATCAACATTACTTAAATTTTTATCTATGTGTGTTTCTAATTGTTGGTACAACATTCTCCTTCTGTTCATTAGATTAGGCTTCTATATGCTGTTCTTCAAACCTTCCACAACCTTGCTAACTTAACTCTGCTTGACCACAAGTAATAAAGAGATGTTTCTGTAATATCCTGCCCTGATAGCGCACTTGTCCAATTTCCACGGCAGTGGCACCGGTTTTGTTTACACGTTCTGTTCTCCGGGGTAGATACATGTTTAGAGCTATCGCATCTTCCTGGCAGCCTGCGCCACCTTCTCTCCCGTGTGATGCTTTGGCTCTTAGAGTACTCTTCCTCTGAAACAAATACAGCTGCACCAGGTTTCTTCCGAGTTTGCCTGAAATGTCTTCTGCAAACTTTTAATTTTCAGCTTTGCAATGAGCTTAGAATGTGCGGTTTTCTGTTTCGTTTTTTTTCAAAACTTGCATATACCTGGAATGTTTTACTCTATCAGTCAGATTAATCCATTTACACTTGTTGTAAGTATTGATTTGTTTGGTCTTTTCCACTCTGTTTGTCCCATTTTCATTGTTTACTTTTCTCCTTTATTACCTTTTATGGATTAATTTTAGGGAATTTTTTTCTTATTCTACTTTTTTCTTTCTATAGGTTTAGGGCTTTATTCTATTCTTTTCATAGTAGTACTTAAAATTATGCCATGCATATTTCAGCTCAAGTATAAAGTTAAACAATTTTCAACCCCCATTTTGAATATTATAAGGATTTAAATCTTCCTTCTGCTGATTGATATGCTATTAGTGTCCAATAGCTTATTTCTGTCTCTTTAACCTATAAATTAGACATAATTATTATTGTTGTTATTATCACTGTTGCTATTTTGTACAGAAATAGCATCTTGTGTTAAGGCACATGTCTAGTGTTCATTTGTTCATTATACTTTTTGGCACTTGCATCTTTTTTTTGAGGATCATTTACTCGATTTTCAAAAACACATCCTTCAGACATCCCCTTAAAAATAGGTCTCCTGATAAACTTCCACACTTTTGCAAGTCTGTACATGGCCTTCTTTTGCACTCACTCTGGAAAGAGTTTTCGTGGGCACAGTCTGGGAGCCACCACTGTGCCGCCTGTCCTCCACCTTGTGGCTGCCCAGCTGTGTCCACCTGACTGACAGTTTCCCTTCACTTCATCCCAGGACGACGCATTATGTCCACCTATTTCTTGTGAAATGTGCATCATTGTAAGTTGCATATGTCACCTTTAAAACATGTCTTACATCGCTGCCCTGTTACCTGACAGTTGCACCCTCTCTGGGGTCCATGGTCTCTGATTGTTCTCACTCAGGGTGGGCTGCAGCCATGTTCCTAGTCTCCTTATTCATGGACACATGGCTTGATCTTAATCCGTGGAAGCTCTGAGATGCCCCTCAGCACATCTTCCTCCAGAGAAAGTTGCCTTCCGCTGATGATTGTGGCCAGGACAGAGGCTTGGGGCTTGGAGCCGGGGCCCCAGGCATGGCCTCCCTTGCCCTCCAGCTCCCCTCACAGAGCACCTGGGCTCTGCCAGTGCCGGCGTCGCCTGCTGGCCGCTGCAGACCCTCTGGAGCCCCCGCCTCATTGTGGGTGAGGGAGGAGCCCTGCAGCAGGACCAGCGGCAGATCGGGCTGGGTCAGAAAGAAGCTCTGCATGCTCTTGTTTTGAAAATGTTTAAAAAGTGTGCTTCTTACCATTTAGTGATAGAATGGCTTGGGCTCAAAAATAGGCTGAACTCCCAGCTGCATAATAGGCAATGACATTTACAAGAAGACTAAATAGCCATCCTGTCGATTTCATCTGTCCTGAGCAGTCATGAGGCCTGCTCCTGCACCTGTTGGGGTCAAGTAAGGACATGGAACTGCAGGGTGCAGCCTGCACTGTGATGGACCAGAGGCACCCAGATGTAGCCAAGGGAGCCTGGGGTGGGGGTGGGGTCATAGGTGACATGCATGCTGGTGCGGGGTGACATCTGAGACCAGCCCTAGATTTGCTGGTGTGCAGTGTTTGGCCAGCAACTGAGTGCACAGTGTTGAGGCCCACCATGGCCAGTGGATCCGTGTGTGGCCTGTCGCTGAAGGCCCTACCTGTTGGGGGCCTGTGCTCCCCAACTTCCCTTTGTCAAGTGATGATGACTGATCTGGAGGAGGTTCAATAAGCATTGGGTCTAGGTTGCCCCAGGCACAACACTGGCCCAGCCCCCATGAGCCTCCCAGGCTGTGTCCACACCATCCTCTCTGCTGAGACCTCTCACAGCTACCAGCCAGTCACCAGCTTCTCAATTCACATCTAAATAAAGCCTGTTTCCTTCACAGCTGCGCCACTGGCTCATGGTATAGAGGGCAGTGGAGAAGGAAGACCCTGGGCAGCTGCCCCACTGCAGGAGAGACACCAGCCAAAATGGAAAACCTGAGCTTGGATGGAAAGGAGGGCTGCTCTACTATTTAACTTCTGCTTTCCTGGAAACACACAAGAGCTTTATCTTCTGACTGTTTACACCCTCGTGCCACGGGGAGAGGACCTGCCGTCCGTCCTGTGTCACTGTGTAACTTGGTAGATCTGTGCCCATTCCCGCAGGTAGAAAACATTGTGTTCTATTCATGTCATGCAGCTCCCCCAACCCTCTGCCGCCGTCCAGAGCACAGGGCTCGCTCCAACTGTGTGCCAGAAAGAAATACAGTAATTAGAGGCGCACTCTGCAAGAGCGCCAGCGTTCACAACAGCTTCCCGAGTCATTCGTTTTGTTCGTATTTAAAAAGCCAAACATCATATTTTGCCTAATCATGCAGAAGGTGAAATGGAAGAGACCGTGCAAAGGGTGATCAAACGGTGGGGGGCAGGGAGGGCTTGTGTCTTCCCGTGACACACGCGCTCTGTTCAAAGCCACAGAGGGTGAGGGTCCCATGTGTGATGAGAATGTTGTTTATTTCCTTGTAGCAGAGAAAAACAAACTCGGTGGAATCTGTGTGGCTGCCACAGTTCTTGTCTGATGCGGGCCCGGATCAGCTCATGGTCACCTCACTGTGGACCCGGCCCTAGGAGAAAGCGTGCTCCCAGTGAGCAGGGATGCATACCCGGCTGCTGGGCCCTGACTGTGCAGGGACGTGAAGGCAGGCGACTTGAAGACCTCACCAGGCGCAGCCTTGAGCTGTGACCTTAGAAACAAGACCCCGCCAGAATTTTATTTCTCTCAGGCGTATATCACATCAATAACAACACTTTTTAAGTTAGGGAATGGCTTTTTAAAGTCGTATTTACCTGTGAATCAAAACCAATTCTCAGAATACAGGGTTGGTTTCTAAAAACCTGTTTCCTGTTCCAGTTGTTGTCTGTGAGAATATTAGCAAAAGCGAGAGAAGACCATTGGCCAAGAGTCGCCCGCCTGGATGGAAGGCGCCGTGGGTCATCGCAACACACTGGGCTGTGGACTGCATTCTCCGCTCAGCTCTGTACCCTGCAGAGAAATCCCACTGTGTGTGCCGGCCATGCAGAGCCCTCTCAGCATCCCCTGCAGTGGACTGTGGTCCCAGGGGTGTGGAACTTACACCTGGGGGGAGGGGAAATGTTGGCCTGTCACTGGAGGTTGTCATCCATGTAGCCCAGAGGAATCAGGTCTGCTGTCTCCTTTTGGGGAGTATGGAAACCTCTGTGTATAACACCGGTGTCATCAATGTCTGTCTGTGTCCATACTCAGCATCACCAACAATAAAAATGTATGCGGGAAAGACAACCATGGTTGTGTGGCCACATTTTTTGCTCCATCTTCTTGTTTTTCTGGGCCAGCTGCCTTGGGCTCACAGCTTCACTCCCTCATGAGGTCTTCACATGGCACCTCATAGCTCAGAGAGAGCACAGCCTGGACCCTGAAGGTCTGCTGGGCTTACCCTGGACCCCACCGAAGGCTGTGCCTGCTGTTTTCCTGGTACCCGCTGGCTCAGGCCTAACACTGTCCTGCCTGCCTCTCTCGAGCCCTCATCTGCTCTGTCAGCTCCCCTGCAGGCTCCTATGTGGCCAGACTCCAGCTACCGCCCGTGCCTGGGCCAAAGGCCTCTTCCAGAGACATGCCACCAGAGTCTTAAGTGGCTCCCTATCCTCAGTCCCTCACAGTCTTTAATCTACTTTGTAACCAGAGTTCTTTCCAGATACCACTCTGCTCAGGCCACAGCCTAGAGATCCCTGTGGTTTGTCATACTTAGAATAAACTCGAATTCTGTGATCCACATGGCCAGGCAGCCAGGCACTCCTGCCAGGCTGTGGCCTACGTGCTAGGACACTGATCACTCTGCCAGACCTTTTAGCCCTGCCCCCAGCCAGGGTATCCAGCAGACACACCCACATCAGGGCCTTCTTACCCCTATGCCTACATGATCGTGCTTGCCCCAGGTCCCCAGAGAACATCCTCACTTCCTTTGGATCTCATTTTCCCAGGGACCACGCGACCCACATGGAGTCTGCCTGTTTGGCTGCATCACCAATCTGGCCACATGCCATGAGCTACGCCTCAACTGTCCAGTGCTTGCTGCTGTTGCTTTCCTGGGGTGCTGCCTGCCCTGAGGCTGTGACCCGCCCCTCCTCCTCTTGCCTCTGCAGTGCCTCCACCTCTGTCAGCTATCACAACAGACCCTGGGCTAGACACAGAGCCCCCTCTAAGGGGACGTAGTGAGCTGACCTCAGCACTATTATGATCCCTCCGTCCCCTGGTCTCAGGGTGCCCCAGAAATAGGTGTGGTCTGCTCTGACTAACTCTGTGGCCTGATCTATTCCTCACAAGACTCTGGCCTGTTCTATTCCAGCTGTGCCCTCACGCCAGTTGCAGTGTGAGTACCTGCAGGTCTGTGGGAGAAGTTCATGCAACAAAGTTCTGAAGCCCCCACATGGAGGCTTCCAGATGTCACATTCCAGGTGAGGAGAACTCCCGGAAGCCAAGTTGTCCTTTCTTGCATATCCTCCCACACAGGGACACATGCACATGCTCACACAGCATGCATGCCACCCGTGTCACATGACTACACATGCTCATATACTGCATATGCCATACACATACCACACCCACACATGTGAACACCTGCATGTACACATGCCTACAAGCCCACACACTGCTCATGTCACACATGAGCATGTATATGCACACATATGCACTCTCACACGGGGTCCACCACAACCAGCATAGACCTTTCTGGTGAGCTGGACCCAGCCTGGGGGCTCCATGGCTCTCTGGACAGTCCCAGGGAGCAGTTTTGTGGAGCCAGCCACCCCAGACCTGCTGCGGGTTGTCTCAGCAGCTACTGTTACAATGGGAGTGTGCTTGGTGTCCTGATCCCAAGCTTCTGGGCTGCGGTTCCTCCTGGGCAGCCAGCCAGATAGCCACATGCTGTCCAGAGCTGTGCCACAAATGGAAGTGACAAAGGGTGTACACCCTGAATATATTAAGGACTCCTACAAATCTGTAAGGAAAAGAGAGACGACCCCATGAGAAAATGAGCAGGAATCTGAACAGACACACAAAAGGAGACAGGTCCAAATGGCCAGCGGCCCCATGAAAAGATGCTCAACATCACCAGTAATCTAGGACATGCAGGTCAAGCAGGGCAACCTACAGTATGAGTCCACCTCAGCCTGCTACACCAGGAAGACTCAAGAGGTCAGACACTCCCCACACCGATGAGCAGGCTGCATGATGGGAACTCAAACACATTTCAGGCACAAGAGTAAATTACATGCCACCTGAAAAGGGCTGAGTGTGTGTTTGTGAGGTTGAACCACAGTAGCAAACACTGCAAGGTCCCTGTTCAGCAAATGGGATTTCTTTCACGATCAGGTGTGGAACCTGCTGCAGGTACGCACAGCTCACATCTGGAACCACCGCAGGGGCTGCCTGGGTGACTGGGCCCCTCACCCACAGACTCCTGGGGCCCGGGCCTAGGCCTGCCCAGGGATGGGGGCAGCAATTGCCCATCACTGACCATGTGCAGAAGCCCCGCCCTGCTCTGTGCCCCAGAGCACCCTGGGGGCAGGCTGGGCTTGACTACCGCTGAAATCATGTCCATTTTTAGCCCCTCTTCCCCTCATCCCATTTCTTTCCCATTTTCTCCTGAGAGCCCCCCCCCCCACTGAATCAGGGGAATCCTCATTTCAGGCTCTGCTTCTCAGGGCTTTCAGCCTAAGGAGAAGAGCATCCACAAACAGGACAATTCCACCTCCAACCACGTGCCCAGCAGAACACTCACACATGTGTGTCTGCCCCCACACACTTGTGAGAGTTCATGAATGGAAACTACAAGTCGCTGGTGAACATGGGGTGAGTACGTTTCAGCTGGTAAGGGAGGACCTATTAGCAGATGGCGTTGACTTCTGCACCCCAGAAAGAGACAGGAAAGTCCTAACCCCTGGCACCTCATTGGAAATGTATCATTACTATTACGTTAGTGCAATATCAGAGCGTATATGAGAGCATTAGAGTATAGCATTACAGGAGACATGAGAGAATGAGGGGGTAGATGGGATTAGAGTTCTAGTTGCTCCCCAAATTCACTGACACAAGGAGTTGTCATCTTTGAAATGTCAGCTTTGTGGGTATGCAGTGGTAGTCTCACGCAGGAAATATATTTAATGGAATGTAATTAGCTAAGATGAGGTCATGTTACCGAACAACAGGAGGAGGTCCAAGGGAGGGGCAATACAATATTTGGCCCACCTAGGGATGCCCAAAACTGCTGTACAACAGGGGCCCCTCCCAAAAACCAAAATACTAAAATCTACTGGGCCCTTCTGTCCGCCGCCAATTGGAAACACAACTCTTAATGCCAGAGATTTGTGAAAAGGAAACAAAATGTTTATTTAATGCTATTCAGGCCTAATGCCACCACTAAAATATCAAAGTCCTTTAGGTTATACACCTACACCCACACAGCGTTCCCTTCCCTCTTGTCCCAACTCCGGGTACCGTAAATCAGGAAAAGAGCACACGTCTGTGTTGCAGGCCGCTGGCACCGTCAGCTGTGTCACTGTGCAGGATCTCGAGTTAATCCAAAGTACTGTGGTACCCTCTCATGGTCCACTGGCAAGAGTCCTTTGTATCCAGTTCCAGTCAAAGTCTCTGTTGCTTTTCAGGCCCCGCGGCCAAAGGGGGCACCCCAAAGCCGAGTGGGCCTCTTCTACCAAAGCTGCAGGGGTCCGCACTCCACCAAAAGCATGTGGCTGTCTTCTTCACCTGGCTGCAGGGATCTCCATTCTGGCCAAACTGCGTGGTTTTTCCCTTTCACCTGGGAAAGAGGGGGTCCACACTCCGCCAAAACCACGTGGCTCCCTCTTTCACCCCACCAACAGGGGGTCCTCACTCTGCTGAAACCGCGTGGCTCTCTCTCAATGGCTGCCGTGCCTGGCTCTTAAATCCCAGCACCCATCTTCCTCTGTACCCCTATTTCCGACTCCTCCCAAGATCAGTTACACCTGCCAGTATTCTGTATTAATACAAGTTTACTGGGCTGCCATCGTTAGTCTGGGCAGTAATCATCCCATGTCCTCGAGCCAATCCTCTCCAAGCCCCTACGCAGGCGCTGTAACTTGGGGGGACCTGCCCCCAGTTACATCTTGGGGGGAAGTCACTTCATCTCCCTAGCTCCAAGCCTGGCCACAGCCATTTAACATATCCAAGTGACCGCCAGAGGCTATAGATATGTTAAAAGACAATGCCATGGATTAGCTGCAAGGCTGTGGCTGTGCAAAACTGTCCCTTCCCCCCCCCAACTCACACCTGTGGGGGTGGGGTGAGGACATCTTATATGTCTCTCCATTATTCCCATACACTTTGAATTCTGGACACCATTCCAAATCTTTTTTTTTTGGGGGGGGCCCCTTTGGCTGCACCCTGTATCAGTCATACTGGAGTGGAGAAGGCTTAATCCAATATGATTGGTGACCTTATAAGGACAGAGGAGCCCTGGCCAGGTAGCTCAGTTGGTTAGAGCCTTGACCTGAACTGCTAAGGTTGCAGGTTCAACCCCTGGTCAGAGCACATACAAGAAGCAACCAGTGAAAGTGAAAATAAGTGGAACAACAAATCTCTCTTTCTCTCATCAATATGAAAAAAGAGGAGAGAGACACAGAGACTCAGTGAGAGAAGGCCATGTGAGGCCAAGGGAGAGATGAAGGTGAGGCAACCACATGTCCATGATGCCCAGGCCCCGCGGAAGGAACCAGCCCTGTCAGCAGCCTCATTTCAGACTCAGACCCCAGAACTGTGGAGTAAAGACAGTGCACTTTCAAAGGTAAATACAATAAGTTTCTGTTGTGTTAAGCCCCCCACCTCACCCAGGTTGTGGTCCTTTGTTGCCGCAGCCTCAGGAAACTAACTCAGGCGAGCCTGCCAGGGATATCAGAGAGCGGGTCCACCCTGAGTGGAATTCAGTCCCTA